CTGCAGCCCCCAGGCAGGAAAAATCACACAGGCAGCTTGAGCAGCCATGAAGGTCTCCTCGGGGTCATGTCCCCCATCCCGCGCAGACAACCTCTCCCACACACACCTGCTGAGTCCCAGCTCTTGTCGAGTCCGGCGCAAGCAGTGAAGGAGGGGATCAAGCGAGGTGATCCGTGTGGGACGGCCTGTTGAAGCATCTCCAGATCATCGAGCACTGTTGCGTCTCATCCTCACATATTTGACGTATTGAATCCTTGCTGGAATTTGCAAGCTTTCCAAGTATTTTTGGTTACTACACTGCAATCCTGAAATTTAAAGTACATTAAATGGAGACGTGAAAATCGATTTGTTCAGTGGGCATTGCTGCTTCATTACTTGTGTCTTAACGCAATCGGACTTGTATTTCTAAGTCCCTCAAATAGAACCCCAAATGGAAGATGCCATCCGTTCTGCAAAAATGAAATGACTTGAAAACACGGATCACGTTCAAACACGGTGTACAAACACGGATCACGTTCCAGAGGCTGTCGGTTTTTATCAGTTTCGGATGGCCCTGGATTAAACATGCAAGGCAGCACAGAGTCCATGCAGGTCTCTGATCATCCAGGTGGGGCTGCACATTGGTTGTGGTGGAGAGGAGTCCCCATTACCAAAGCATTAATGTGCTTTGAGTGGAGTGTCCAGAAAAGCGCTATATAAGTGTAAGCAATTATTAATTATTATTATAATCCCTGTGGGTACTTTTGATTGGAGACATGTGCAACGCAGGAGCACATAGAGCGCACCAGAGGAGCCTAGAGGCAGGTCCTCGTGCTCTGTGGTGCAGTACCGAGGCCACATCACAGGGCCCACCACAGTGAAATGTGTTTGGTGATGAAAGGGAAGGGATGCATGGTGCTGGTTTCACCATTTACAGACCAAACATTTAGGAGCGGCATGGTGGCACAGGGCGGCTGGGGCCCTGGGTTCGATACCTGGGCTGCTACCTGTGTGGGGTTTGTATCTTCTCCCTGTGTTCTCTTGGATTACCTCCAGGTGCTTGGGTTCCCTCTCACAGACATGCAGGTGGGTTAATTGTCTTCTGGAAAAGCTGGCCCTGGTGTAAGTGTGTGTGCGTGTTTGTGTTTGTCCGCCCTGTGATTGACTGGCGTCCCATCTCGGGTGTGTCATGCCTTGAGCCCCCTGCATGCTGGGATAGGCTCTGGCTCCCCCATGACTCTGTGTTGGATAAAGCAGTAAGGAAATGAACAGATGGAGGGATAGTTATGAGGTTGAAGCAAAACATTGCTTCAGACTGCACTCACCCTCAGAGTGGTATTTTTCTATTCATGTAGGAAAACCAGATAAACTGAGTAACAGAGTGGGACTTTCAGAGGAGAAAGGTCCTATTCAGTGTAGCTGAGTTTTGCAGTAATGGATTTGGACCAAAGTCTTGAAGCAGGTTAGACTGCATGACAGAGAGATACCTCATCTGCAACCCCTTCAATTATTTTGTTGTTTGTCTCTGTCAGCAACCTGTTCTTTGAAAATAGTTTCCTTCCTGTCATTAGCAGAGCAGCGCTTTCAGGAGCTGCCTTATTCTGTGTTTATTACTCCGTTTTCAACTCAAGTGGAGCACTTTGTGTCTCCTCACATCACTGTTTACGCGGAGGAAGGTGAACAGAGCCCTTGTCTGCCATTCCAGCTACCACAGCCCCGCCTGCCAAAGACCTTCAGACTCACAGAAACCTTGACTCTCTCTTTTTAAGTTCAAATAGTTTATTTCCTTTAATCCTTTCTCAACAGAAATTGAGAGCAAATTCATGTTTGCAGTAACACCATGGGAAGTTGCCTCTTTATTGCCTTTTTATTGCCTTTCATGAGAGTGAGAGGAGGGTGCTTTTTTGGGATTAATCCCAGTGAATTACTTTACTTAAACTAGAGTACAATAGAGCAGCATGTTAATGGCTGAAAACAGCTCTCCGTACATTATTGTAGAAAGGTTAGAGCAGCTGCGGCTGTCTGTGCCACAAAGTGGCATCAGGTGAGCACGACGAGCCACATCTATGGACTCTGTGATAAAGTTGAGATAAATCCAGGATCTCAGTTTGTCTTTTTTTGAAGGATCTAAACACACATGGAAAGCAGATTACCTAAACCTTTGTTTGCAAAGTATGGCTTTGTTTTTCATTCCTAGACACACTCCCTTGTAATTTTCATTCAGTCAGATAGTCCCGTGGGCTGGCTTTGTTGTTAAAACTATTGTTCTCTCTGAAGTTGAGACTGTGATGCTGCTCTTCACTGCCCTGGTTACTTGTTTATAGTTGTTAAAAGCCCTTTCCTGTGTGTGAGAATAAACCCACTGCAGTGCAGAACAACAGACATTGCTTTGTGTCTGCAGTCAACATCAGGATCAATGACAATGAGTTGTGAGAATCAGTATCAAAGTGAAAAGCTGTATCTGACCAGGATAGGAGTAGAGTGAGTGTTTATTAGAGGAATCATGCACACAAAGACTATGATCAAAAATGCTTATCTGTTAGAGGCTTCAGACAAACCTTTTAGCAGCTGCCACTATTTGGAATAAGGTTTTGAATGCTACGGGTGAAGTAATATCCTGGGGCGCTATCTGGGAAAATACAAATTCAGATTCCAAAAAACCTAATCCAGTGAGTGATCCAGTTCGGTTTTCTCCACAGAGCAGACCTGACCCCTTGTAAGCACGGTCATGCACACATCATGTGTTTCGGCCGTGATCCGCTGCGATGATGCTTTAGAAACAGGGCTCGTCTTCTCTAGAAGCCCCTCTTCTCTGCGCCACAGGCTGCTCAGGGCAGGGTCTTGCAGAGCGCTGTGTCAGGAAGGAGAGGGGCGAGGTGAGGTGTTAATTGTGGCTCTTACCTCCTTAGCCTGGGGCTCAGCTCCCTGAGAATAAAAGAAAACAATCGCTGCTTTAAAATGGATTTACCGCCCCTGCCTAGTGTTTTTCTTTTCACGACGGGGGGTGGGTGGGGGGGGCTGCCTCCTCTCTTTGCGAGATAAATTAAGCTTTGCCGCGTTGTCTGCGCGAGGGTGCGAGGGCAGACTGGCAGGCCGCTCCTTCCTGCTCCTGCTGTCTGTGCCGTAGTGGCATCGCACCAGATCGGAGAAGCAGAACTGCAGCCCGGTGTAATGAACACCTTTGTTAGAGAGCGAGCTTTTGAAGTCTCAGTCCCTCTTTTTTGTGCTAAATTTCCAGTTTGAATTGTTTTGCAACACTGGAGCTGAACCTGTAAGCAAGTTAAGGCATTTGCTAATTGGATTTCTCAGCAACCCGTCTTCATCCTTGTTAAGAGCTGTGAGACCTCTTTTTGGCATCGATCCCCTTAAGTCAATACCCAGTGTTATGACAGATTTTCATCGCACACGTCTGCAGACATATTAACTAGCTCTAGTAGTGCGCGATGTATAACACTGACAAGACTACCTGACACAATCAGAAGGTGAGACGTTGTCATGTGGTAACTTTCCAAAGCACATGGGTTATCAATGCTGTGTTATTGCTCATAACAAAATATTATTAACCATTACATTTTATTTCCCATTTCCTCTTTTATTTTCATACCCCGATGCTGTTTTTGCAGTGATGTGCACATCTTGTCGTGCTTTGTTAAATGGGTTATAAAAATGCAAATTTTGCTGATGAGAGAATGTGATTTTCAGCAGAGAGCAGCCTGGCTGTGAATGTCCCATCTGTTTTGATGGACAGTGCAGTCCAGTGACAGGCTGATGCCTCTGCAAGGTGAATCGAATCCAAACATAGGTCCCCAAATGTCACCACATAGTTCTGAAAAGAAATGGGTAATCTGAGCAATGAGTACTAAGCAATTACTTAGGCCAATCAGATGCTTTGTGCAATGAGTAGCTGTGCAGACATGAGCACACTTGAACCTGTGAAGGACAATGCTACAGTAGCATGCATTAACAGAAAAAGATCTGGACACAAGACTGAAATGCGAAAGTACCTGTTTACTGGCAGCTATCTGCATAAACTTGCAATATGGTTGCATGGTTTGCAAAACAGGTAAACAGAACCAGAATAAAGAAATTCGGACTGCTGTAGATTACAAATCCAATTTCTTTTTAAGCACTAGTGTGTTCGTTTAACCTTTGTTGTTGTCATATCATCATCCCATTTCCAATTATTTGGCCCTGTAAAACTGTAGAACATCCCAAATCATCTCTCCCTGCCTGTGCAGACTCACCAACTGCGTCCAGACAATTATAACAAATACACTGCAGCAGTATAATTTACATATAAGTACTGTTCTTTTCCGCATTCTCTGGGTGGATGTCTGGGCACATAAAAATGGTGTCACCTTGAAGGGTGTGAATTTACCTTCTTTTAGTAAAGAGGTACAAGAAAGAAACCACAGTGCTTTAACTTTGTGAGTCAAAAGAGACAGAATGTTGTTATTTCAGCAGATTTGTGAAAGTTTCCTGTAAAAGGCAAGTGTGCACTTCAGCTCTTGTAAACACGCAGCTCGGCAAGACAGACGGCCTCGTCTCATTGCATCCGAGAACCTAAGCAAGGCAGAGTACTGTACAACAATGGGGGACCTATAGAAGAACCAGGTTACTCTCTGTGGTGTGGTGGTGTTGGTGGACCAGTAGGTGGCACTCTCCTACCTGTGCCTCAGAATGTGCTGTAGGAGGTGCCATTTTTTGGATGAGACATCAAACTGAGGTCCTGACTACTTGATCAGGAAAGATCCAAGTGTTTGTAAGAGTAAGGTTTTTAACTCCAGTGTCCTGGCTCGAGTTGACTTTTGATTTGCAGAACCTACCCACCCTAAATGCCCGCCTTTATTCGACTGGTGAAGCAGTTTCTCCTTTCTCGCCCCTGATCTGCTGCACTGTGGCCCACTTCACACCGATGGAAGGTGTAAACCCTTTGCAGAGCGAAGCAGGCTGGCCCATGTGCTGGATCTGGGTTGAAGAGCAATGCGCACACTGAACCCTGCCTGCCTGTGTCGCTGCAGGGCTGCTGGGAGCTCGCTGGTTCCGAGGCCCGGCTCTGAACTACAGCACCTTGCTGCTGGAGGAGGAGGAGGAGGAGGGGGGGGTCCTGTACGTCGGAGCGAGGGGGGCCATGTTTGCGCTCAACGCCAGCAACATCGCCGGGGGCGACCACAGGACCGTGAGTACACTGACACCCAGCGCTGCCAGTGCACAGCACTGCTCATCCAGGCTGCTCATCCATTAAAACAGAGGACAGTCCAGACACCACAACCAGCCCTGTCCTGGTTAAGATGACGCTAGTGTCCTGCTAGTTTCCATTACTTTATAGCATCTCTTATTGAAATAATAATTGAATTAATTAGATTTTATTGCTTCTAGCTCATAAACTGAGATTTCCAGTCAACTGCATGATTCACAACTAACGTCAATACTCAGCTTTTATGTAGCAGAAAGAGATGGCAGATGTCTAAGCAGAACTACATGACCGAGAACTCTCATCTGGGATGAAAAGCAGCTCACGCTGGGTCACCAGGACCAGGATTGGCAAGCCTTCATATCAAGTTCTAGATTATTTCTTCAGTACCAGAGCTTGTATTTAAAGTTAATACTTATGTCACAGTCTCCTTGGTTTACTTCCTTATCTGTTGTTAATTCTGCAAACGATTGTGCTCTCGGATGCACTTGTTAATAAATTCTGAATATGCAGTGAGTTTTGTCTAATTTCCAAATTCCAATTCACCAAGGTTTATTGGCACCACTGAGAAATCATAGGGTTGCCAAAGCAGATTCAATTAACAGAAAATTCAAAGACATTAACTGTACAAACATATCATTGAATAGCTGCAGAGATCAAAAACCATTATAGCAGGACAGGCTCCCTCTCTGCTCCTCCGGCTGAGACTGGAGATCCTCCCGCCTCCCTCAGAAGGACTGGAAGTTGTTACGTCAGACATAAAAAAAGTTTTAAATGAGAAAACCATGGCCCATCTAGTGCATTTGTAGAAGGAGAGGTTTCTTAGCATTGATGCTGCTGAGCACAGTGTATTCAAGACTACCACTCCATCGTAGTTCTAAAGATAGTGCCCTAGGCAAGACCTAAAACTTAAAATAAACAAGGAATGACGCCTGATGATCTTCTTCTTCTTCTGCTACTTCTTCTTCTTCTTCTTCTTCTGCTTCTTCTGCTTCTTCTTATTATAAGACCACTGCCTGACTACTAGTGGTGCTCTTTGGATTTGTTAAAACCTTTAATAGTTTCAGGTCATTATTTTATGTAGATAGGAGAATTCAATTATTTTTTTATTTTCGTTTTCAGATTCTTTGGGAAGCACCACTTTATCAAAAGCAGCAGTGCTGGAGCAAAGGAAAAGACAACCAGGTATCGCTCTTGGACCTCTGTAGTTATGCCTGTGTAGCCGACTGGCTCAGAACAGCTGGTGATCGCTTGAGACAAAAGGCCTGATCAGCCGAATCATTGAAGAATGTAAAGAGCAATTACAAACGAGAGGAGGCCGTGCAGCCCATGTAGTTAGATGTAGTTAATTGATCCCTGCATCTCATCCATCTGTTTCTTGAGAGAAGCCAGGGATTTGGCTTCAATAACACGGCTTGTTCCACACTCCCACCACCCTTTGTGTAAAGAAATGGCCTCCTGTACTTAGTTTTTATTGCACTCCCACACCTTTTCCTGTTGTGCCCCCTGGTTTGTATATCACTGTTGATTATGAACAAATCGGCTGGCTTCTATCATAGATAGATACTTCTGTCAGGTCCCCTTGTTGTCTTCTCTGATCAAGATAAAAAAGGTTCGTAGCTGTCTGACACCCACACACTAGACACCCTACCAGGATATTGCGTCACATACCCCGGTGGATCTGCCATGCTATTCATTTCCCTTGGCCACATCACTGCAGCTTTGTGAGCTGACTGTATACTGCAGGAGTGATGTGCTCAGGAGCCCAGAAGAATAACACATTAGCTGTCCCGTCACTGTAGCACACTAAGGCGCAAGGAAAGGTGCAGAGCTGGGACCCTCAGAGTGCAGGAGAGGACGGTGAATGACGTGTGAGCGAAAACGCGACAGCACAGTATGCAGCGGTAGCGCAGAGCAGCACAGCAGGCAAGGAGTGTGAGAAATAAGAAGTCATTGCAGGATTTTCAACCCATCACTCATCTAAATGGCTGAAACTAATTATCTGCCTAATTGAAGTAGGCTAATCCCCCCCAGGTCATCGGGAGGTGGCTATTTATGGCAACTGAGTGGCTTGCTGGGCCACTCCCTGTAGGGACTGAGCCTCTGACTTCCAGCACATTTTCTTCTCTGGCTTCCGAGCACCAAACACATGTGGAGTGTTTTGAACACGTAGGAGGAGGGTACGAGGAGCCAGGAGAGCCCCCGTGTGATGTGACTGGATCTTTAATTTTATTTACAAGCACCCCACTTCACATTTAGCCAAAAAAGCCAAGTATGCCAATGTTGCGAAATGAATCTACAAAAGAACCGCCTATCCCCAAATGCTTGACTTTGTTTCCGAATCACTTTTTGATTTCTTGTGTGTAATGTTTTGCAGACAGAATGTTTTAATCACATCCGGTTCCTCCAGAGGTTCAACGAAACTCACCTATACACCTGTGGAACATACGCCTTCCGACCCGTCTGCACCTATATTGTGAGGATTTTCAAAGTTTTTGTTTTTGTATGAAGAACTTAATAAGAACAAATTAGTACCAGCAGGGTTGGCACAGTGGTTAGCATTGCTGTCTCTCAACGCTGGAGCTTTTGGTTTGATTCCCTACCTGGGGTGCTGTCTGGGTGGAGTTTGTATGTTTTCCCTGTGTTC